CCTATCACGGTAACTACCCACCTGAAGATGTCCTAGAGTGATGTCATGTATCAAAACGGTGAAGAGGCACGCACGATGAATTCTGATGATGATGACAAACTCCACTGCACCACCGTAGCACCACCTCCATCATTTCACGGCCGTCAGCGTCGCCATCACCGATGCAATGCACACCATCGCCGCCATCCTCGCAAGCATCATCGTGACCATGACTAGCATCATCGTCGAAGAGATAACCGCCAATCCCTCACGAAAAAACATGTCAAGGCTTTATTAGGGCTCGCCCGCGCAGCTCGCGCCGACATTGGGCGGAAAGGTCTGCGCCTGCACACATGCGCCAGGGCCCCAGGGTCGACATGCAGCTCTAAGCTCTAGGTTTAGGGTTTAGGGGTTTAGGGGTTTAGCGGTTTAGGGGTTTAGGGTTTAGGGTTTAGGGTTTAGGGTTTAGGGTTTAGGGTCTAGAGCAGAGTAATGCAAGTCTTAATAATTAGAATGGGGTTTTAGGGTATAGTGTACTCTAACTATAATAAGGAACCCCCCCCCAAAATAATGTGGGTAATTGTCAAGGCCCGTATATGGGCAAAAAAAGCGGGGGCTGACTAAGTTACCAATTCAATACAGATTAAAAGACGCCCAAAGTCCTGCTAAATACACGGTCACCTTCCAATACTAATCATAATCCCTCATCAGACGAGTACATCAAGGGATCTCTAGACTTGGTAGGGTTTAGGGTTTGGGGTTTAGGGTTTAGGGTTTAGGTTGGTGGGTACGAATACATCGATCAATGAACATTCAGAGTCCTGCGACTCTCCTCGCAACGTCTTTGCTGAATCCTTGAAGCCTTTAAACGGGCATTGAGTCGCCAATACCCCTTAACCAAGGATTACACTCTAAGTTACAGGGTGCTTCACACCACTTGCAAACAACATCTACATCTACATGGGTAGTTCTCTAAGTCAGGGGCCCTTTTTAATTTTAGCTCCCCCATATAGTACGGTATGAATATATGCCTCAGCTACATGGCATTGATGGGCTGTTTGGAAAGAGCTGAGGGATGCCTTTTAGAAATCTATTGCTCGACAGCTTCGGAGACTGCATCGCCATCTCCAACAAAGCCCAACAACCAAAACCCAAAACCCCAAACCCTAAACCCTAAAACCCTAAACCCTAAACCCAAAATCGCAAACCCTAAAACCCTAAACCGTAAACCCCAAACCCTAAAACCCTAAACCCTAAACCCTAAACCCCAAAACCCTAAGACCTAAACCATGACGAGAGGCGGGAGTGCTTGAAACGACTCAGAGCGAAACTTGGCGCTTAAGCTCTGGACCCCAGGAGCTTGCAGACTACCCGATGTTACGCCAGCATCGCCCAATTCCGAGCGGGGCGCAGCTAGGGTTGAGGGTTTAGGGTTGAGGTTTAGGGTTTACGGTTTAGGGTGATTCACAACAACACTCTGAAACACTGCGCATCAGTTTTCTGGCTTGTCGTCTCTGATGATTTAGCTGTCTCGTGGTGGGAACCCTGAACGACAAACCCCACGCGCTGCAACCCGCAAACCCAGGCCCTAGATCCGATCAGTGCAAGCCCGAAACCCTACCCAAAGGCTCCATGTACCTTTATAGTAGATACTTAGGCCTTAAAGGGGTCCCTAGATAGGCACTTTGCGGCCTAAGTATCTGCTATAAAGGTACATGGAGCCTTAGGGCTAAGCCTTGAACCACTAAACCCGAAACCGTAAAACTCTCAAGGGACCGTCAAACTCTCAAGGGTCCCTATAAATCCCATATTAGGGTTTATAATAAGAACCTGCAAAAAGTGGGGTTTTGGGTTCTTAAGGTAAACCCGAAACCGTAAAACTCTCAAGG